TTGCTCTAGGCTTTTCATCTATTTGTTTTATCCTAATATCCTTTCACATTGAGGGAGGAAATGTGTAATAAATGACAGAAAATGACATGCTTGTGATTGAAATACTGGTTAAGTCCCATTTAAATGGGAAGGCAGAAAGTGGTTCAAGAGGGCAGTGTAGGAAGATCCTGAACTCATGTCCTCCCACAGACACATCAAACAGCTCCATACGGAACCGTCCATCAGAAAAGAACTTGAGAACCAGCTGAATAGCTAGTCCTTAAGAAAGGACGAAAAGACCACACAGACATGTGCTCTTGCCAAAACCCCCCAGCACAGCGACCCACAATTGGGAAAAAGCTTAAAATACAACACAAATATGAATAAATATATACATACATAAATCAATATACACAGTTTCTCCCTGAGGAGCAAGGGGTTTGTACTCCATGCTAGATATCACAACACTGCGGGCCTGAACCAGAGTGAGGAACCCCCAAAATGTCTGGCTTTGAAAGCCAACGGGAATTACATTAAGGAGAACCACAGGGCTATCGAGAACAAAGATTTCCCTCTTAAGGGACTCACATGCAGGACCCAGCTCAAAAAGCAGCAGTCTGAAAAAAGTCTAGACCACAGGTGAAGGAATTTCACTTGCCAAACTTCAGGCATCTACCAGAGGGTAGAAGTCTGCTGGTATTCTCTCCAGGGATGGAATGGTGGCAGATGCCATTTTGATGGGTTACTTCCACACGGCTAGTGATAGTACTGCGGGCACCATGTTTTGCACCGCACTCTAGCCAACTAACAGCTACAGGAAAGCAAGCCCTTCTCCCCACTGCAAGCACCTCCAGGTGCAGCAGGTGAGCAGACCCATGCCTTCTGCCCTTCGCTGCTCATGCGACCCTGCCTTCATTGAACAGATATGTGTAGTGCACTTAGGGGATGTCCTGTGAGCACCAGGCTCAGGTGTGGTGGGGAGGGTTGGGCTTCTGGACCCCACAGAACTGAAACAATTAGAGAGACAACTCAAGAGACAACCAAGAACAAGGATCAGGTTAAATGTTAAGATTCATCTCCTACACAGAGCCACTCCCCAAGACAGGGAGATAGAGCTGTTTTACAAAATACACAAAACCAAACAGAGTCAAGTAAAATAAGGAAACAGAGGAACGTGTTCCAAAGGAAAGAACAAAATAAAATCCCAGAAAAAAATCCTTAATGAAACAGAGATAATTTATCTGAGAAAAACTTCAAAGTAATAGTCATAAAGATGCTAACTAAAGTCAGAAGAAAATGGATGGCCACACCAAGAACTTCAACAAGGAGATAGAAAAATATAAGAAAGTACCAAACGCAAGTCACAGAGCAAAACAATACAATAACTGCTGTGAAAAATACACTAGATGGAATCAAAAGGAGGCTAGATGATACAGAAAAATGGATCAGTGACCTGAAAGTCAGGGTAGTGGAAATCACCCAAACAGAACAGAAAAGATGAACAAATAAATTCAATGGGGATAGATTTAAGGATCTGTGGGAAAATATCAAACATACTTCATTCACATTATACAAGTCCCAGAAGGAGAAAAAAGAAGGGGGCAGAAAACTTATTTGAAGAAATAATGGCTGAAAATTTCCTTAACCTGGAGAAGGAAAAAGACATCCAGGTCCAGGAAGCACAGAAAGTCCCAAATGAAATGACCCAGAAAGATCAACACCAAGACATGTTGTAAATAAATATCAAAAGTTAAAGATGGGGTGCCTGGGTGGCACAGTCAGGTAAGGGGAAAAGACAGTCTTGTCAACAAATGGTGTTGGGAAAACTGGACAGCTACATGCAAAAGAATAAAAAAAAAGGAAACTAGATCACTGTCTTAAAGCATATGCAAAATTTAACTAAAGATGTATTAAAGATTTGAATGTAAGACCTGAAGCCATAAAGATCCAAGAAGAAAACACAGGTGGTAAGCTCCTTGATACGGTCTTAGTGATATATTTTATTTTGGATCTGACTCTACAGGCAAGAGTAACAAAAGCAAAAATAAACAAATGGGAGGGGTGCCTGGGTGACACAGTCAGTTGAGCATTTAACTCTTAATTTTAGCTCAGGTCATGATCTCAGGGTCCTGGGACACAGAGCCCCGCATCGGGCTCCTGGCTCAGCAGGGAGTCTGAGGATTCTCTCCCTCTCTCTCTCTAAAATAAATAAGTAAATCTTTTTAAAAAAATAAACAAACAAATGGGAGTATATCCAATGAACAAGTTTTTGTAAGTGAAGGAAACTATTAACAAAATGAAAAGGCAATGTACTAAGTAGGGGATAATATTTGAGAATCATCCATTGTAAAAGCAGCTAATAATATCCAAAATCTATAAAGAACTCACACCACCTAAAAGCAAAAACAAAACACAAAACAAAACAAACTCAATTTAAAAATGGGCAGAAGACCTGAGTAGATGTTTTTCCAAAGAAAACATACAGATGGGCCAACAGGCATATGAAAAGATGCTTGACATCACTAATCATCAGCAAAATGCAAACCAAAACCACAATAAGATCACCTACATCTGTCAGAATAACTATTATCAATCCCTCCCCCCCACACACACATACACATACACACTAAAATAACAAGCACTGTTGAGGATGTGGAGAAAAGGAAACCTTCATTCACTGTTGGTAGGACTGTAAATTAGTACCACCACTATGGAGAACAGTACAGAAGTTTCTCAAGAAATTAAAAATAGAACTACCATACAATCCAGCAATTCCACCTCTGGGTATTTATCCAAAGAAAACAAAAACACTAACTGGAAACGATATATGACCCCTATGTTCATTACAGCATCATTTACAATAGCCAAGATATGGAAGCAACCCAAGTGTCCATCCATAGGTGACTGGATAAATATGTGGTATAGATCTACAATAGAATACCACTCAGCCATAAAAATGAATGAAATCTTGCCATTTGTGACCAACATGGATAGACCTTGAAGTTATTAAGCTAATAAGTCAAACAGGGAAAGACAAATACCACATAATTTCACTTATATGTGGAATCTAAAACACAAAACAGATGAACAAAACAAAACAAAGCAAAACCAGACTCATAGAAAACAGACTGGTAGTTGCCACAGGAGAAGGAGTTGGGGGTGGGTAAAATGGGTGAAGAGGATCAAGAGGAACAAACTTCCAGTTATAAAATAAGTAAGTCATGGGGTATAATGTGCAGCACGGGGAATACAGATAATAATATTATTAACTCAGGTGATGGATGGTAACTGGACTTACCATGGGGATCATTTCATAATACATACAAATGTCAAATCACTATGTTGAACATCTGAAACTAATATAATATTGTACATCAATTATACTTCAATATAACAAAAAGATGAAATACTGGTTCAGAGCTGGTGCATACACAGTTAAATCTCATTTGTAGAAAGTTATATCCCACAGGGAGATAAAGGTACACTAATATTTGGAAGCTATAATCCCTGCACTTTACTGTATCATTTTTTTTCTACTCATGAAATAAATGAAAAAAGATTTAACTTTTGAGATCATTTAAAATTATGTTCTTTAAAGGAAATAAAGGCAAAGGCCATTTTTGAAAAAGAACTAAGCGTGTTTAAATGAAAGTACCTCGAAGAAATTTCAATGCTTCTCCAGAGTTTAAAAATAAACAAAGACGAGAAGGAGGAAAAAAAGGGATACAACACCATCTCAAAATTCAAGGGGAATTTCACAGCTTGTTATATAACACTAACTATCAAGCCTCTTACTCCAGCAGAGATCTAGGTAAACCAAAGTTTCAACTTCCAGACATTCCATAAGGTATGTGATTTACCAAAGAGGCGAAACCTAGAGTCACCACCATTAGGAGCATTCACCAGGAAGGTAGTACAATTGTTCAAATACTCAATTAACAAAATTATTTAACCACACACTTATCACTGACAGCCCATCTGTTTGTTTTACAACATACTAGATGCTTGTAATTAGCTGGCAACGGTGTAAACCACGTCTCACGTTTTCAGTCACTGGTCTAAGGCCACCTTCCAGCTTTCCTCTTTCTTCTGCCAGTGTAAAGGAAGTTAAAAATAATAATAATGATGATGACGACAAAAAAAGAAAGAAGTTCAAAATAAGAAGCCAAATAGTTCCTAAGTATATTTCACTGGATAATTATTGGATGGGGCTTTCAGAGAGGATACAAGTAAACTGCAGCCACTTAACAGCTCACTTCCCCAGGACAAGGATGCGAGCATTTCACGGGTTGTTGACAAAGGCCCATCAACCACGAGTCGCAAAATCAAGTCACAGTAGTTAAAGATATTAAAACAAAAACTTTTAATAAACCCAATAGTTTTTTAATAGAAAGAAGCAGCAGAATAAAAGAAAGTCATACAACATTTGAAGTTTTTAAAGATACACATTCTTTAAAGTAACAAAGCCATTAACGGCACAAAAGTTTGACATTTGAGTGTGTAGAGATTGAAGAGAAGGAGCCACAGACCACATTGTAGGAAATAAATCAATAGCTTATTTAACTTTTAAAACTTTCAAACATAATCATAAAAATCTTACAAAAATTTAAGAACTAAATAAACCTAAAAATGAATCTAAAATGAATCATTACCTAAGTTATCTGGATCATTTTTATTGCATAAGTTTTCCAGAAAACTGCTTTAAGCTCTCCCTTAATTCTCCAAATTCAGCTGGAGTGCTGACTCTAAAGTGTTTCATCAATATACAGCAAAGTAAAATGCTTGCAGGGATGTGTGATGACCAATAACATTATCAGAATAATTTAAATGCTTGATTTCTTCATCAGCATAAGTGCTTTCTGTGATTATGATGTATACGTATGAATGAAGGAGCAGCTGGCCCCAAATGAAAATGTCCCTATTAAGCATATGCTAAATCAACACCACTCTATATCTAGGCATAAATGAAGATAAAAACACTCAACATTATGATTCAATTAAAAACCTCCAGGATACATTACCTGCCGCCTCGAGCACTGAAAGGCACTACATGGATTCCCAGAGGCCCTCCATCGTTGGGGACTCGTACGAGCTTTACCATATCACTGTGAGACAATGATGAATGAGGGAGCATGAACATGTACTGTAAACAAACCAAAACCGAAACAAAACAAAACAACAACAAAAAACTGCTACAACACAGACACACCATAAACAACAAAAGAGAACAAAACGAAAATCTCACCAAGCACACACGCATACACATACACATTCTGGAATACAAGCGTGGTGATGAGAGCGGCAGTAAACACTACATACCTGAACACTAGTCTGATGGCTTGGAGAGACAGCATTCATCAGAAATAACTACATTAAAATGACACAGAACCCCTTCTCTCGGACCACACTCTTTTATGTGTAATACAAGTACACATTTTGTAAGTCAAACCTTACACTTCCACTGAAAATTTTCCATCCCGGTATTTATTTCAAGGATAATGAAGATTAAATGAATAAAGGTGTTTTGGCTGCACAGCACTTTAAAATTTACAAAGTGCTCCTGCGTAAGTCACATTATCAATCCTTCCAATAATCCAATGAGGTCAAAGCTTTTGTTTTGCCTCCATAGGTTCCAGGCCAGATGTGATCGAGCTATCTTTATTTCCCACATTTTTCCACAACAATTCAAAGTCCTAAACTTCTGTAAGTGTACCACAATGCCGGGAATGAAACTCATTCCTCAAAGCCAATAGATACCTGCTAAACATCAAATAATTTCTATAAGTGTTTGTAACTGAACCTTAAAGTCATGGAGAGAGATGTAAGTAACATGAAGTTACTTCTATTACATAACAAAAGTACTTTACTATTAATAAGCCTGAGCTTAATGAAAACTGGTGTAATTTGGAGAATGTAAATTTTCTAAATCTTTTAAGTGCGATTCATTTTCTTTATAGAGTTTTCCGTGTGTGTGTGTGTGTGTGCATGTGTGTAGTACACAGAAATCTAAGCAGGTCTTACCTGACAATCAATTTTTAAAAATAGTGTTTCAATTAAATACCTAGTAGAAGCAACCTGGACAACTATAAAGATTACCAATGGATTTGACAAAGATTGCAGTTTAGTTTTTATATAATGGAAATGCCAATTCTTCAATTGTATTTCTAAAATAAAAACTTAAAAGTTATCCTAGATACTATTAATGTCCTCATTATGTAATACAAAGACTAAAAGAAAATTAAAGACAGTGATATCAAACAAATCAAAACAAAATTAAGAATATGGGCATAGATGTAATCACATATGCTAACTAGGAAAAAATTAAAATTTTGCCAAACTGCCAAAATATTTACTGAAGTAATACTATTTAAATGAATTAATTTTTTATATTGTCATAGAATTTCACAACTTCTATTTTAGATACTGTTACATATCATTTGAACATCTATTTAATGATTAGTTTGTCAACTGAAAACAGTATGGTAACTTTAATAAATTTATTTTATTCCACATTCTATCTAAAAAGAACTAGGACATGGCAAGTACTTCTTAACTGTAATAGTGCTGGTTGCTGTCTATCTAAACATAACCTGATTCTAGACCCTGTTTAATCTCACTGAGAAAGTTCTGAGAGCCTTCCCTTGGAAGACCAAGAAAAGACAAAATTAAGAGTTTATACATGCTAATATCTAGGCCTCCTCAACTTTTACCCAAAGTCAGACAAAACTTCAGAATGATTGCCCACCCTGGTCTAAATTACCAAGGGAAGAAATTCTGAGAACACCTTCCACTTAAAACATGCCAATACTTAAGATAATTGTAAAGTTGTGATAATACAGTAAAGTTTTCTTTGTCCTTTTATAAGTAAAGTCATGTTTAAGGGCCATAACCTATGACTCTAATTTTTCAACAATTATCTTGAGAGATTCCATTTCGAAAAAATATATACTAAAATGACTAATGCTTACATGATCCAAATGGTTTTTCGAATAAAGTCTATCTATACTTTTTTTTAATTTAGCAAAGTTGAAGAACAAACAAATGACCAAAACACTGACATAGAAAGCAATTTGAAAACAGTTATAGTGCTGTTAACACAACAAACATTTTCAATCAAATACTATTTTATATTATCATTTAATAGTATTTGCCAAGGCATGAAACCAGGACAGGTACATGTAAATTTCCATGCTATACTTCTTACATTAAGTGTTACAAGTCAATAGATGAAAGATGCTCTTTGGAAAACAAACCAATGCAAGGCATGTTTTTAACTAAGCACAAACATTCCGCATGCCATATGCTTTTGGAATACTTGCTGCTATCAGTAATGCTACACGTATATTGCAAATTTAGTCAAAACCATCAGTAACTTACTCCAGAGAAAAGCTGGGTATGTTCTCCAAACTAGTGTCAGCATGTCCAACAGGTTCAACGCGACTGTTGTCTTCTTCTGTCCCATCCTCATCCTAGAGACACACAGCACAAAGAGAAGAATATTCTGTGTTAGGTTTACTTCCAGAATGTGAAAAGAAATTGGATAAAACTGGAGTTTAATAGGCATTCTGATCATGTTAACTAGGTCCTTCTTCTAGGGAGGATCAGCTTTAACGATAAGATGGGTATGTGTATATGCCAAGCTGTATTTTAAAGCCACAGTCTCCTGAGTTAGCATATCCCAGGAGATGGACAAGATACCACTGCAGTAAGGAAAGAACTTCTACTTATGTGAATGTTCTTATAATTCTTATTTCACTCTTTGGTTTATGTTTTCAGGAATAATTATGCATTACTACAATGCTACGTTAATAAATAAATGTGCAGGGTACAGGTGATACTTGTTTAAAATTTTTACTAATCCAAATAGTTGAGACCATTAAAAACCTTAACAACTACCAAAATCTTCAATGTTCCTCAGTTCCTACTAAACCAGCTTGTCAAAATGAGCATGCAGTAAGTACCATCCTAGACTCAAATCTTTCATCCTCTGAAATTTCACATAAAGTTACCCTAAGCCAGCTGACTGGTTATCCAGAGGTATCTATGAAGGCATTAAGATCTTAGCCATAAAGAACCACTTCTGTTTACTCCTATTATGAAGGACCAAGCACAGGGAGAGGCACAAACAGCAAAATACTCAACCCCCACTTTCATATCCCTCCTTTTATGAAGGTAATATTGTAAGACATTACGTTCCAACACGTTATAGAAACTGGGTGAGTATGCTGGTACTACAAAAGGTGCATGTGGAATAAATGTGACGGCTACCTAAAAATAAATGAAATGCCACTCAAGAATATGCCTCATTTTATAATCTTGGCCATCATCTTTTCATTAAGGAGTTCACAGTTAAGTTGGCTTTCCAGGATAATTCAAATAATGATAAACATGACTGACTGATATCAAAGGTCTTTTTAACCAAATTAGAATATTTGGAAAAGACTTGGAATCTCCAATCATAGTGGCTAAGTGGCTCAGTGTGCTTCACCTTGGATCCACAGTGTCTGGCACCCAGTAGATACTCTGTATATTTTGCTAATAAAACAAAATCATCCCTAGAAATCGTTGGGGTAATAAGTTTCCAAATACACATAAATAAAATTTATTTAATCTGTTTCTTGGAAGTTTATATGTATAACTTATATAAACATAATTTGTTATGTATATATTATATACATAATATAATGTAATATATTACATACATAATATGTATATATAAACATAATTTATATATATGTATAACTTATATAAACATAATTTATTTAAACATAATTTGTCCAACAGTAACAAATATATATAGGATATATTTGTTATATATTCCACTATATAAATTTGGTAACAGTGATTTTCTATGTGAATTTATTAAACCACCTATATAGGAGTCTACCATTAAAGAAAAATTTTATATTTTTTAATCATGTATTTGAGAGACTCATAGTAGAAATCTATATGCCATCAACAAAGACATCAATCAACAAAATGGTAAGCAAAGGTCGTAGGTTCAGCACAGTGTTAAGCAATATTTTAAATTCTTCAAGCAATACTAAGGCAACACAGAGCAGCTGATTAATACCTAATTGACAATTCCTCTGTGAATCCACCAAAATAAGAAGATGAAGGCACAAAGTTTTTCTATGAGTTGTAGATAGACGTGTCCTCCATGGCAGTGTACTGCATGAAGTAAAGGTACTCGAAGATTGATGATCCTATGATTTAAGAGGCTCTAATATGCACTTCTTAGTCATCTATCTCTTTTAAGCACGAGCACACAATACATTTCAAAGGTTAACTAGCATCTTGAACCTGCCTAAGGACCACACTTTAAATGTAAACAAGAACTCCTGAAATTAGGCTTTTCCACTGGCAGTGGGGGTAGGAGGAGAGCAAAGTGATTGTTTATAAATCAGATGGAAAAGACAAAAATAATCTTTCAAGTTAAAAACATTTCATTTCAGGATTCATTAATAATTTAAGCCCCACTGAAATGTTACCATGATGTATAACCAGTGAAACACCTAAGTTATACTATGAAACAGCCACATAAATGAAATGCCCCAAACTACAGTGATAAAACAGTAACTGATAATTTACACATTCATTGTTCCCAGAGTGGCCATTATCAGGCCCCCAAGAGCATGTAGAATATTATTTCATGCTGCTGCATATGGTGTTCAGTTGAGATCACAACATTCACTGCCCTGAGGCTGAGCTGCAATTGCTATGGGAACCACAACTTAAAATTTCCCAACTTCTGGATGGGTAAATATCAACTCCTGTGCTGCTTTATTTTGTTGTTTTGTACTTCTAAAAAGCTGTGACTGAACATAGTTACTTTTAGCACAAGTTATATACTGAATTCTATTATAGACACAGAAAATGAAACTTGGCTTTTATTTATGTCAAATCAATACTGAAGGCCTAAAATATTAATTTAAACTACACAATGTTAAAAACTTCCAGGTGAGAAAATATACTTTTTATCTTTTCCCTTCTCTCCATTTTATAGCATTTTATAGCAGAGTTCGGGTTCAAGAATTAAACAGTTGGGTGTGAGTACCGACTCTACCATTTGCCAGTTTTATATCCTTAGGCAAGTTACATACCTCTTCTATATTTCTATCCCTTCTTCTGTAAAATACAAACAATAAAGACATCTTCCTAGGACTACTGAGAGGGATAAGATAATCTGTATAACAAGCATAACATGGTGCCTAACACATAATAATTGCCCAGTAAATGTTAGCTAGTACTTAAAAGAGAAATAAATAATACATGACATATAAAACATACCACAAATAAACAATTTAAGGCAATGTTACACAATTATATTTTAAGAGTACAAATTCATCCATTCATACTTTTTGCCTTACAAGACAACTTAATATTAAACATATTACCTACTCAATTAAATACAAAATCTACATTTTAGAAACATTCATAAAACCTGATATTTGTTGCGTTTTGCTACATACAAAGTACCTTCATTGTAAAATGTCTTTGAAATGAGAATACACATTAAAAAATATAAACAGCTAAATGATGTATACAATCAAATAAATGGCACAAGGAAGAAAACACTACGGGTTACTGGTTGAGGGAATTTTCAGAGGAAAAGCAGATGTCAAGAACTATGAAGAGCCTGGGTGGCTCAATCAGTTAAGTGTCTGCCTTCGGCTCAGGTCATGATCCCAGGGTCCTGAGATCGAGTCCCACATGGGGCTCCCTGCTCAGAAGGGAATCTGCTTCTCCCTCAGCCTGCCACTCCCCCTGCTCATGCGCTCGCATGGTCTCTCTCTCTCTCTCTCTCTGACAAATAAACAAATAAAATCTTAAAAAAAAAAAAACTATGAAGAGTCTATGATTTTATCCCACTTAAAAGCTCCTAACTTAGCCTGCATCGCTTCATGGATGCTAGCGGAAAAAAACGAGACCCCCCCAGGTCAGAGACAAAGGACAGTTTATTACAGCAATAGCCAAAGTATCATCCTGTTACACACTTTTCTGCAGCTAAAATTCTTACAAAGCGATGTGAAGAGAACCAGGAACGCTGGTGCACACAGAATAAACCTGAGCTTAGGGAACCCAAATACCTTACATAGGCAGCAGCATGTCTGCCCGTTACTATGGAGGGAGACACACTATATCGATCTTCCAAGGTTGTTTGCTGTACATACATCCTTGGCAAGGATAGTCCACAACAAAGGCCTCTGCTCTCAAGATATACGAAAATGGAAGAGAAAAACGGAGAATTATCTCCCAACAACAGAGCTTAATCTAAGCATTGCCAAATGGTAGCATTTGTATGATTGCTAGCAAACTAAAACTAGGAATATCAGTAACAAAATGCCCTATCATAACAATGCTTTTTAAAGTAACATTAAATTCTACTAGATAACAGTCATACCTTCTATATTAAAACAAATTTTTCAGTGGGGATTTATTTCTATGTTCAACCAACCAAACAAAAATCAAGTATGAAAGTTGAAAAAAAATCTTCAGATATGCGATTTCTTTATTTCCCATGGACCCTTTCGTAGTAAGCTATTTTTGGATATGCTCCAGCAAAATCCAAGAAATTCAATAAAGCAATGGACAGAACCCAAGGAAAGTCCCAGAATAAGGTGAAAAGACACCTCAGAGAAGAAGCCGCCAAGTCAGATTAGAGCAAAAGGATACAGAAGTTTGGAAAGTCTATCTCCCTGAGAAAAAAAGAAATTAATAATTGGTCTGATATTTTTGAACATTTGGGAAATATTTTTTAACAGACCTGTTAGAGAATGTGGGGGGAAAGTTCAGAAATATAGAGATAAAACAAAATAGATTTTTAAAAGGTCAAAAGCAATTGACTCCAGGAACAACAAAGGAAAATGTGTAGGGGAAAAAAAATTAATCAGAGTACCTACTTGGTCATGCAGTGAGCCACAAACTGCCATCTAATGTGACACTGGCTACTGACTTCACTTAGACATCTAATGTGAGGAGACGGGAACACGGCAAGTATAGGTGGCAGAAAAAGAAAAAACCTTCATCTTCCACAGTGTAAGTCAACAGATGTAAGTAACTGGTCGCCAGGAAAGAGCAACCTAAATATTTTATTTAGAAACATGGAAGTAAATACAAGAATAAATACCTATATAAACAGTCCCTCTGGGGAGAGGGACCGGGAGAATCAAGAGGAGCAGTACAGAGTGCTCATTTTTTCATTAAAAGTCTTCTAGTATTATTTTTATACTTTTATTCTGACTACATATTTGAGATGCCCAAAGTACCTAAGGCTGAAAACCCAACCTGCCAGCAAGGCAGCATCCTGGGAAGGAGCAGTCCACATAACTGTCCCGGACCTGGAGCTACTCCTGTGTGTCCCAACTCAGGTGCAGGAAAAGACTCACATTAGCAGGCTGCAAGCGCTACTCGCTACTCGGGTTTCCAAGCCTCAGGCCCCACAGAAGTATGTACCTCAAAACAACAC